TGCACGCAAAGAGTCATTCTACGAGCAAGCAACCAAGCTAGCGTCCAAATGAGCCGGGCAACCAACATCCGAAAAATGCATGCTGGCTTGCTGTATTTAGTGGAAGGCGCACACAGAAGGCTGCTAGCAGGGCGCATTCCCCGGGCTGTCAGTCGTTTCGGATAGTTTGCCGCCCCCCGCTCGCCGCACATTGACCGCATTTGCTGCCACAGCATCAAGGAAATGAGAAAAGTTACTTTTTTGGTTTTAAGTAAATTTGTACGTTTGTATGGGCGGCTGTTTGGTTGGGTGCTAAAATTTATTTTTACCTCACTCGTCCTAGTTCAGCAGTCTTTTCGCCAGCCTGCGCTTCGTCTGGGCCATAATGTTGCGCTTTTAATGTCACATTTCGCTGAAACGTCATTTATAAGTTGCTGCTCTTACTAAGTGCTAGAAGTTATAGACTTTGTCAGTTGTTTTTTTTTTCTTTTTCTCTTCTTTCTTGTTTGCTTTCTTGTCTACTCGTTTGCCTTTTTTTTTTTGGTGGTCTGGCATCTGTTCTGCTATTGCTGTTGTGGCTGCGTTTTGTATGCATGACAGCGCCATCAAAGTAAGTAAATAAGTCACCACAACTCTGCCGCGCCACTCGCCGTGCACCGCTTTTCCCCTTTTTTCCTTTCAGTACTCTCTGGCCGCCAAAAAGTCACTGCTGCTAAACTGCCGCCCATAAGCGCCACTCCCCCTTGACATGTTGAAAATTTTCTTGTGACTTTTCTTGTCAGGCACGCCCCTATTTCGTCTTGAACTCTTTCATTTTCTTTCGCACAGCTGGCACTTTGTATGTAAAACTTTTCCTTTCCATTTAGGTGTTTTTGCACAGCTTTGCGATTGCACTGTGCGATTCCTCTCCCTTTCATTTTCCTGTCTTCTTGTGTTACAAATTTTTTCCTAAGTGCGCTATACACTAATTGCTAAATATCTTTCCAACTCTTCGCAAAGCAACTGCAGCCACACTTTTCCACGCACTTTGTTTTTAAGCAGTCAATTCTTCTTGAGTCTTAAATTATCTCGTGATTCGCTCTTCAGTGCGAGCGCAATATTGAAATAAAGTCTTTAAGTCGTCGCTGTGACCTTTTTATGAACTGTCTCTCTGTATAAGCATTGCCTTAGTTTCATCGTTCTTCTTTTCGCCTAGCTTTGCAATATTTGGTCCTCGGGCCGGACCGACGCCTAAAACACTAGAGACGTAAAATATTTGGTTTCTCGTTTACTGATCTGGAGGCAGCCATATAGCCGAAATATCTTTTTATTCTACCGACGACCATGACTCGACCTTTCGCACTGGATCCAGAATTTTCCGACGGTGATACCGAGGGTCCTTTCCTTCCACACCCGGGTATTAAAATCGCCAAGCACGAATTTATTATCATGACGTTGGTAGCGCAAGCGCCATGAAGGACCATTGTGTCACCACAGTCCGACACCCATCATTTATATATCTCCCAGCGAATATACGCTTCGTGACCATTTTCGATCCCATTTAGGGCACGAAAAAAACAGTTTTTTTTTTTTTTAATAAAAGTTTCCCTCTATACCCCAGAGAGACGCAAGTGAGGTGAAGTCTGTTCTGCCTGGCCATCTCCTGTAGAGATAGACGGCAGTCTAGCATAATTTTTGTATAAAACGTGAAAAAGCCCAGAGCTTTGATTGCAGCTTGCCATTCACTAAGAATGAAGATGTCTCTCCCCAGGGATTTCGGTTCCAAGATTCTCTACAGCCTCCATGATAGCTGAAACCTCAGCAATCTAAAATAAATTTTTAGAAGAGACGCTTTCTCCCATCTCACCGTCGATTTTCGAGCCATCTCTATAGATATCAATACTAGAGTGACAATATATTCTTTCCACTCCTCCCTACTTGGAAATCTTGTGCTAAAATTGCTTTTCGGAACCAATATTGCAGCACAATGGTCTTTTCTGTGCGGAATGACACATAAGCCAAAGTGACCCTACCAAATATCTCTATCTTTCTGCCATTACCAAAGACTTCACGTGAGCTGGTTCCTGCATCTCCCGTTGGTCAGGATCAGCGAAGGCGAACCCGAGAGTTGAAATTTATTATGGTCGAGCAACTATGACTGCATAGCCAGAAGTTCTGATATATTCTAATTCTTTCCACAAATTATTGTCATAAGCTTAGTGAGAGCTCTACTACGAAACTGAATGAAAAATGTAAAGGAAATCATTTCCTCTGAATCACTATGAGGAGTGAAATGAAGTAAAGAGCAATAACTTATTCATCTCGTGAGACAAGCTGTGGTTGCTGATGCAGAGAAGAGGGCGCCTTTAAAAACTCTTAAGTTGACTCAATCATTCAATCACTTATGGAGATCGATGTGACGGCGGTGTAGTTGGTTGGGTACGCTTCATGTTGGAAAGCAGAATTATTCAGGCGAAAAGCGGAGATAGTGTAATAACTAGATAGATATATTTATGTATATGTGACCAGAGGCACCCTTAAGCCTTAGTCCGGTAGCAAATGTTTAAAACCACGGGCTACATGGCATCAAGCTTTGAATTTAGCTTAAATGGCTTAGGGCCAATTTCACAATGCGTGGTTGACTCAGAATCGGGAGATAACTACAGAATTTTGTACTGAAAATCTCTAGTTAACTGTCGATTCTTAGTTAACTACGCACTGTGAAATTGGCCCTAAGTATGTCCCACATGGATGTCCTTTTCAGTCCATCTTAAACGAAACTAATTTGTAAATTGAGATACTGAGATCAACTTATTCAGGATTAAACCTTTATAGCGTCGTTTACTAGCGAATCAGTCATAAATCTTTTCAACGGTATTTATCTGCTTTCGGTTAAAAGAAACTCAGATGTGCTGTTAGGTTTAGTTATTCAAAAATTCGCGTTTAGCAGGAAGTCTGAAGCCTTTTGTGAATAGATAGACCAATCGACAGGCAACGGAAAATATCCAAGAGTTCGAACGCTGGGTAATCACGGCTTTATGCTGATATTATTAAGATATTAAAGCAATACTTAGTATGTACTCGTATGTATGTTTATGTTTAACTGAATGCCCTTTAACAGCATAAATTGCATGTATTTATGTATGTATACACCATAGCAATTTTCATGGTCTCGCAGAATACATGCATTCATACTACATACATACATACCTACTTATGTACGTACAAGTGCAGCCTTATGGCAAATTGCAACTCAACTCCCTCATTTTAGCAACAATAGAATATATTGGACATTTATTTGCAATTTACTCGAACAACATAGCCCAGAAGCAGTTGCAATGTCTATATTTTGTATTTACATGTAGTATATGTGTGTGTTTGTCTGTCTGTGAATATTCAATGCAAGTAAATCATTCACTCAGTCCAGCAAGCAGATAAGCAAACAAATAAGTGAAGTATGGCGGAGGAGTAGCAGCAACAGCGCCAAGCTGAAATGAAAGCGCTCTTTAGGGCATACAAGCAGATGGCAACACTCAAGCCAAAGTAAACGGCAATTTGAAGTGCAACTCGAACTCGCTCTATGCTACAAAGTGAAAACTTTGGTTGGGAGTGTGAAAGAAAATACCATATAGAAGTTTTGGAAGACTTTTGCTTGAAAAAAGGAAAAGGAGTTGATAATTTTTGAAAATGCTATTTCGATGTTTGCAGGATTTTTATTGTGCATTAATGTTTATAAATATTTGAACCAAATTAAATTTGGTTCTAAATTAAGGAAACCTGGTGAGGCAACTATTTAGTTCGGCTTGAGCCAACAAACGAGAGGAAAAAGGTGCTGGTGAACAACGAACGGCAGGGAACGTAACGGTTATGATGTTGATAAAAAAAAAATCGTAACTTAACCTTTAAAATTGGGTTTCTACTTTTCCGAAAAATATGTAAACGTTATTTTATGATTTTTATTTTTCAATCAATTTTTAATCGATACTTTAATTTTATTTTCAGATTTAATTTTTTAGATCAAAGAATACTTAAATTGGACATAAAACCGCAGTCTCCATCGTAACGGTTAGAGAATACAAAAAATATATCCAAAATAACGATTTTTTGTGATCGAAAAAAAAGAATAAAAGTCACAAAGTTTACCATTAAATTTAGCAGAAAAAACATGAAATCCAAATTTAACGACTAGTCTTGAGCGAAAAAATAAATAAAATAAAAAATTAACGATTTCGAATTAATCTAAAAACCAAAATGTTGAAATATATTTAACGGTTATTTTTATTAAATACCTGTCATATGGACCTATTTACATTAATTAGGAAATATTACATAAATTGGTTTAATGGTAATTATTTATTGCATTACGCTTGCATACATATCGAGATCATATACTCAATACCCTCCATCTGCTATTTTCATTGAATAAAACCCCTCGATATACTGTAATTTAGTCGTTTTTTTATTTTAATACGGTTTGTCGGGGCTTTCTACCGAAATTCATTAATTTCGGATTATTTGTGTTACGATATGGTATAGAATTTGAGTCTAAATGCTTACAAAACTTTTTATCAAACGGGTTTACAAAGAACTAGTTGGCAACTAGTTGATAGCAAACCAGTGGTTTACAAACAACTTTCGACCAATTGCCTAAAAACATGCCTACAGCAGGCACGAACGCCTAGCGCAATGCCATTATTTTGAATTTGACATAGCACATAAGCACAGAGCAACAATTGCACAATGAACTTTAAATTAGTTTCTTTCGCCATGGGGTATTAAAGTTTTTTTACTCACACAAATGTACAAATGTACGGACGTATTTACAGCCATACACAAAGCTATGCAAGCAATTATCCATTTCCTCCTACTACATATGTATGTATGTGTGTATGTTGATGTATGCAAAGGGTTTATTGCAGAGATATGTAGCTGCAACTAACACTCGCTCCCCCACTCGCCATACACAAGCACACTCAGGCTGTCTTATGTCTATGTAGCATACATATTGTATGTATGTATGTACATATGCACATCGCACTTACCTCGCTTTTGTGGTGATTGCATTGCGTTGGATGACGCTGAGTTTGCCGACGAGCTGCCCGATGATGAAGAGGACAACGAGGAAGAGGGTGATGGCACACAATGCACAAATACCAACGACGAAATTGCAATCCATAGCCAAAGGCAAAATATCCATGAGGATGATGGCAAGAGTGTTATTATTGCACGCGTACGTACAGATGGTAATGATGCTGCAAGCGCTGTAGTAGTAGTAGAAGCAGCGTTGAAGTGTTGGCGTCTCTGGTAGTTGTTGTTTCGATTGCTGTTCCTGCTGCTGTTGCTGTTTATCACAAGCGCAGCGCAACGTCGACGCGGTGATTTGGTCTTACTCCTCAGCATTGTTGCTGTTATTGAATGTGCAGCTATTGTTGCTGTTGTGGTTGTTGGTGCTGTTGCTGTTGCTGTTGCTGTTGCCATTGTAGCTGTTGGCATTGTCGTTAGCTTCCACTGTGTGCCACCGCTGATGTTGCTACTACAGCTGCTATTTCGAATGGGCACTTTTATTTTTCTTACATTTATGAGGGACTTCCCCACCACTTCGACGAATTTCGACGACTGTTTACCAGCATTGCTAGCAGCTGAGCTGGTTGTTAGGACCTTTGCCGGCATCCTTGCTACTACTATTTAAACCTTATATGAGTCTATGTTTGTAGCAGTAGATGTGGCGTTTGTTGTTGTTGTTGTTGTGTTTGTTGTTATTGGCGCTAGCATGCTCTCAGAGGTATGTGCGTTTTTTGTTGCTATTGTTTTTGTTTTTCGTGTCCTTCTTGTAGCTCACAGCAGCTCGAGCGCACTGGAGGCGGGCTTGCTGGCTTGCTAGTTGTTGTTATTGTTGCTGCTGCCTCTTTTTATTATCACTGTTATAATTTACTGTTGTTATTATTACTTTATTTTCCTATTTCTTCGTTTTTTTTTGCCTTTGGCCCTTCACTTGCTTGTTTGTTGTTATTCGATACGTTTATTCAGCAGCAAAGCCAGCTTGCAACAGCCAACACTTTTGCGTGCACGCACACACACACACATGCACAGACACTCCACCCACTCACACAAGCTCTTTCTGATAGCTTCACTATAGTTATGCTTCGTTTTGCTTTGCTTGGCACGCTTTTGCTGCTTGCGTGCCTTGTCTCTGCGGCCTTTGCCCTTCCAAACAAGGATAATAGTTGTGCGATAATATTTTAATGACTTAATACCAGCAACATTTATACGATTGTTGTCGTTGATAGCATTGTTGCTGTTGCTGTCGCAGTTGCTTTTGCTTTTGTTGTTGGTTATATTCTTTTCACTTCCACTTGTTTTGCACTTTTTACTTGAATTTTGTTTTACATCTCCTCTTTGTTGTTATATTTTCATTTTTTAGTTGTATTTGCTGTTGCCTCCAGGTCTTTTTTCCACTTTCACATCACACTTTAATATTTTTTAGTTTATTTTCGGAGTGCAACATGCAATTTTAACTCCATTTCACTCCCTTGGAGAGTGAAGGGTCCTGTGATTGTATCACTTTTCGCAATTTTCTTTCACTTCAATCTGCATTACTTTTTATTTTCACTGTGAGATAAAAGAAATTTTTTTTGCATTAGTAGGAAAAGCATATTTTAGGAAGTGCAACTTGTATTTTCTTCTTTTTTTCTGAAAGACCGGTTTTGGGGCTAACTTTTACTTGGAAATGGATGGACAAATAAACCATCCACAAAAATTTCAAAACTACAAAATGTGTTAGGAATCGCAACCAGGGTTTTGAAAAAAATATTTTTTTTAAATCGAAAAAATTCTACAAATGTTTTACTTAGCGAGTTTATGAATAAGTCTCAATAAAATTTCAAATTAATAAGATTTTAAGGCAAAATTTTGTAGAAAATTTGCGCATTGACAAATAATAAAATGTTTCAAAACCTTGTAGCGACAAATAAAAACATATGCATTAGGGGGTCCTTAAAATTTAAACACCATCCACAAAAATTACAAAATTAAAAAAAAATGTTAGGAATCGCAACCAGGGTTTGAAAAAATTAATTTTTTTTAATCGAAAAAATTCTACAAATGTTTTACTCAGCGAGTTTATGAATAAGTCTCAATAAAATTTCAAATTAATCAGATTTTAAGGCAAAATTTTGTAGAATTTTTGCGAGTTGACAAATAGTAAAATTTTTCAAAACCTTGTGGACCCCTAAAAATTTATTGACAATTTTGAATTTTTTTGTGGTTGTATTTACTTTGTTCTACAAAATGTATGTGTTGATATTTTTAAGGACCACCCTAATATATGTATGTACATACATACATATATGTATGCATTTTCTTCTGTTATTTATTTTTGATTAATAATTTTATTTATTTAAAATCCAATTTTACTTCTTCAAACATACATACATACATATTGCCAACACTCAAAACGTGATAGGAATGATACAAATTGCATTCATTTAAAGGGATCAAAGCATTACTAAATACCTAAGTAAGTGTAAAAATTTATTACCAATTTTATATCTATTTGAAAATCGGGATCTAAGGACCAAAAATTCACAAATGAAATTTTCTATACTTTTGTTTTTTGCTTACAAATCGATTTTTAATTAATAAAATTATTTATGAAAGTGAAACAAGTTTTTTATATAAAGGTATTTTGAATTAAACTTTGAGGAAGAAACCGCAAAAGTAAAAGTTTCAGAATTTTTTTGAAAAATTTTAGGTAAGCAGTTTCATAGCCCATTAAATTTTAATGCGAAAAGTGCAAATTTCAAGTGGCTAAGCATTCGTGTTGTTTTTTAATTTTTTTTCTGACATTTCAAGCACATATTTTATATGTACATGGAAGAAAATGCCTAGCAACGCTAGAAAAAAAAATTATAAAATTTAGTGACCTACAAAACTGCATACCTAAATGTTTTCTAATAATCAAAAAAACTAATTTGTTAATTTTGGTGAAATTTCTTTTTAAACATCTGAAATTTTTCATATAATTTTTTTTTTTGGTTTTTTTTTAATTTGAGGGTAACCCCACAATTATCTTCAACAAGTCTTTATTATATAATATTTATTAGCAGCAACAGGATAATCAAATAAAAATTCAAAAATCGTCTCAAACAAAAAATAATCAAATCGGTTGAAAAATAAATGCTCTGAACTATTTTTAACAAAAAATTCCAGTTTGGGGCCACTGTGGGGCGGCGGTTTACTCTAGCGGTTTTAATCAGTAATAATAGAAAATATTTATATTATAAATTTTTTATAATTTGTGTGACTCAAGTAAGTATTTTTTTTTTTGATTTTGATTCCGTGTATGCGAAATGGAAGCTGCTCATAACAGGCAAGAGTATATGCTCAATTGAGAAGACTCCTTAATATGTAGCACTTATATTGGAAAGATAGTCGAAGACCCTGGTATGGGTCGCCTACCACTCTCCGCTACTATTCTGTATTCAGATTTTAGTTAGAAACCACGTTACCTACGACGCCGTAAAGGCACTGTCTTACCGTATTTCTCGCTGCCTAAAGTGGATATAATAGTCTCTAGAAGGCTTGAAGGTAAGGTTTTACCTTATTGGTTGCTTGGCTCTCTGCCACCGGCTAAAAATGCTAACATTTCCGCCGGAAACGCCGTGGCCCATTTTCTCTTTGGAGTCAAAAATTTATAGCCAGGTCCGTAAATATCTGTACCCACTTTCAGGTCCATCTTTGAACAATCTGTGTACCTACGTAAATACTATTCTGGAAGAAGGGTGCGTTAACCAAGCAGATCTCTTTGGTCATGAAGTCAAGTGGTCCGGATCTTTTCAACGCTAACATCTTTCCAAGTGTACCTGTATGAGAATTGTTGCTAGGTAGGCGCAGTTGCAGTTCACCTGATGCTGCAACTTTTTGAACAAAAATATGAAGAAGAGTTCATTCTAGCAGAAGAAGCGGGCGACTTGCCCTTTTTTGAAAGTCCGAGTTTGTGGGAGACAAAATCTTACGTAGCGAATGTGATTGGCACCAGTTAGCTCGCAAGGGAAAAGTCTAGCGTATCTTATTGTATAAAAAAAATTTAACATTTAATGCTTATACATTTTTCTACGTATTTTGCCGATCTCCGTCTGCGTCGGTGGTAAGAATCTTAATGATACTCGTATTAAACAAATGTATTGATTTTTAGAAGCTTTTTCATGGCAACAAATACAGTCTAAGGTTTGCCACTGCTTGATGAGGGGTGACCGCAATTAGAAAAAAATTTTTACTAGGCGCAACCAGAACTACCCAAGCGGCTATAGCGAAAATTAAGAAAAAAGTGAAGATACAGAAGATATGCTACACACATACATATACTTTTCATAGCATACAGTCTGATAAATGGTAAAAAGGGATTATCCACTGTGGCAAGCAAAGGATTGCTATTAAAATGATAGTCACTATTATATTTACTTTGATTTCTGATTTTGTAACTAAAAAATTAAATTATCAGAAGAAGAGTATTGTTAAATTTCATTGACTTTTGAATAGAAGATCTCGCTTTGACAAAGAAGATATTCCATTGTTGTATTGTTCTTTTGTGGCTTGTTGGATTTCTATGGTTTAATCAGAGAAAAATTCTTACTCATTGTTTTCTACAATTCTCTACTTTCCAATTTTATAGATACATATTTAAGTATGTATGCAAAATCGATTTAGAATACAATTTGAAGGCAAAGTGTGTTTAGAACAAAAAGCGTCTTTCGGACAGTAGCTAAAACAAGTTATCGAAAAAGAAAATTTCGTTATGTCAATTGACTTCGTACTAAAACTGACAGAAATTTACTAAACAAATTTTTAAAATCTCTTTATAAAAATTATTGGCGTAACTAATATTGATAAAACAGTCAATTTGCGTCAAAGAAATTCCTTATAAGTTTACCGTTTTTTCCCTACTTAATTACAAAAGTTGGGTATCATTGGAATGGTAATGGATCAAGTTATTTATCTGCCATACCACGTTAATAATTTTTCATACAATTTGTCTTTTATATATCTTCTAATATTTAAAATTACGAACCACATTCCCAAATTTATTTTGACCAAACCATGCTCGGTAAAAATACTAAACAAATTTCCTTTCTAATAACATTTTTTAAGAGATATAGTCTTAAAGGATGTAGAAGTTCTGAATTTTTTAATTTAATAAAAAAAACGTTAACAAAAAAATTTGTCTCGGTTTAGTTCAACTGCACATGAGTTACTCATATTAAATAGAAATCTCCGATAAATCCCGATTTGAAAAAAGTAAGTTTAAGCAATTTCTTATCATATATTTCTTCTTAATAACAAAATTTATTCACTTTAATGATTTTAGCTCTTTACAGCCGTCGACGGAAGGCAAGCAAAGTCTTGCCAAAGATGTATAAATCGAAAAAAATCAACAATCGCTGGATTGTATAATAAAAGCTGGGCGATATGCCTAACTACTATAGCCAATTCTATAATTAAATCTCAGCTAATGAAAGACTTGAAGACGCCTACTGTCTTTGTAAAATACCTTGTCTCTTGTTTGAATTATTCTTCCCTTGCCCCTTCAGTCAAATGCCTATAAAAGTTTCTAGAACTGGTGGAAGAGATTTGGATTAGATTTTGAAAAATCCCTGTAGCAGATCAAACGACAGCGGTTCTAGTAAATAGCCAAAGAATAGAGAAGTATAAGATTCCAGCAAATATAACTTTTGATTGAATGTTAAGAAAGCCGCCTTCACTGTCCCTTCTATTGTAAAAAAAGGCCGCATACAAAAGTTGCCATGCGAACAACAAGGTCTGACACTGCTATGGATAGAAAATAGAAAACCATTTGTAAAATGTTCTTTCAATACATTCGTCAGCATTGAGTGTCGTGACTTTGTCGTGATCCCTTGACTGCTACGTCAGACCTTGCTGCTGCAAACGTAATGGTGTTTTCGTCCAGCATGCGCTGAACTGGCAACAGACCCGCATATAGGAATAGGCACTCCCGCTCTGTTGTTGTTGTTGTAATAGCATACAATACAGTGAAACTGACTTAAGAGTGTATTTCCAAGCCAATTCATACGCAATGCAATTCCCTGCAATATCACTGTGGCCTGTTACCCACATACATATGTAAGTCTGGCCAGAAAAAAATCCGGCACCTGTTAAAGTGAGCTAAGGCATCCCGATGGCCTTGATAAACACTTGGCTAAATATCAGAGTAAATGTTTTCCTTATTTGCGACGTCGTTGAGCAACCAATAAACCAACAGACTCCTTAATGGCAGCAATCTCTGTCTGGAAAGCGCTATGTACAGTGAACTGGAAGCCTAAATTTCAGTTTGTTGAATGGCAAACTGCTCCTCCATCAACCTTTTTTTCAAGCTTCGAAATATCCATGTAGAAGTTTATTGGTGTCTGACTAATGAAGATTACGCATTTCCATATCTTTTCAATTTCCCCCCACAGCCGAATAGAGCCACTGATGCCTCACGTCAGGCCTAAAATTGAGGGAAACAAGACGAGGAGGAGGGGGAGAGTCAAAGGATTAAAGGGTTGTCGCTTTGTATCCAGGAACTCAAATGGATTAAAAATCAATTTCGTGTTGCACTAAATTGTAAATCTCGCCTGAAATTTCCACAAAATATGCTTTAAAATACACTTTGCTGAAATTTCATCGGCTTAGCCTCGCCGCAATTCAAATTTATGAATTCTCTCTTCAAAAAACTGTAGTTAGCATAAATTAGTTTAATGTGCCTCCCACCAGCAAGGAACGCTATTCATTCAACACACGTCCTTCATATTTATGCTTCTGTGTTTAAACCTGCACACATATTCTCAATTTAATTAAACCTTTATTTGATTCCAGCCACATGCGTGGACACTCCATACTTAAGGCATTTTAATAGCACTTGCAGAGCATCACTTAAAAGTGTATAAAAATAAATTAATTTTTGCTTGAACCCCATAAAATGCTTTATATTTACTTATACAAATATACAATACGTATGTATATATGTATGTGTGCATACTCGTATTTTGCCTTTTAAGCTTCATTGGCTTTTCATAGAATCTCAATAACCTACGCTTCATCCCTTCCTTTTTATGTACTTCAATTTACAACCTATTTTTGATGACAGCCTAATTGAGTAGCAAAAAAATTAATATCTATCCTTTCAACAACACTTCCAAAAATATGGCCCACGCAGCTATTCATACGCAACCGCACTGGCCTTGTTTATCCTTTTGACATGTGTCCTTATGGCAAGGCATAAAAATAACAATTCATAGCGAGAAAGCATTATAAAAAAATTTACTGCGTAGACACATAAAAGGGGAAGCGGACAATACAGGCGCTTCACTGGGAAATAAAGGAATGCAAAGACTTGATATAAAGAGCAAGATACTTTTTTCGTAAAAATTCAAAATTTTTTTCTGTACAAATTTTGGATGATTAGAGTTTTTCGAGGGTTTCGGTACATTTACCAGCTTAAGGAAAATCACCAAATTAATTTGCTTTAACTTTAATTTGATTTTTATTTCATTTTCGACATCTTTTTTTATAACTTTTTGTTGTCGGTTGTTGTATTTTTAGTTTTTTTTTTTTGTAATTTCTGTTTTTAAGAATTTCAATATGTACATACACATCCCCTGTCATAATTATAAGCGCACCACAAATTGGAAGGTTTTAACAATTTTTTTTCGTTTTTTGGTATTTAATCTCAGTAATTTTTTTTATGAAAATATTTCTTATTTTTATTTCTTTGTATGGACAATAATGCCCCACATCGTCAGCAAAAAATCAGTGGTGCCACAAACGTGCACTTTATTATACATACTAATATTGAATAAGCTAAAAAAATGCATACTCAAAATCTTTATGAGAAATCTAATTAGTAATTTTGAAATTTTTACGAAAGGTTGATTAATTTTTTTATAAATATTCTATAAAACTTAAAACTTGGATTTATAGTGTTTTTGTTAAAGAATAAATTAATTTCATAAAAAAATATCTGAAATTAAATAACAAAAAAATGGGCGTTCGCTTATTATTATGACACTGTGACTATATGGCTGTAAAAACTCAAAAAATATTTGTATCATAATTGTTTTTTTTTTGTTAGGTTAGTTTTTGGTCATTTATTTTATTTCTTAGTATTTTTTAGGATTATTTTTTGGTCATTTATTGTATTTTTTAGTAGATATATTTTTGGGATCTAAAACTAAATTTTTTTTTTTTATAATTTTTAATGCATTTTATCTATTTTAAATGAATGACTATTTTGAATGAATGAATGTAGGTAAAGAATAAATTTATTTCATAAAAAAAAATCTTAAATTAAATAACATAAAATGGACGTGCGCTTATTATTATGACACTGTGAGTATATGGCTCCTTTAAACTTTAAAAGTCACAACCCAAAAACTATTTGTATCATAATTGTTTTTTTTTTGTTAGGTTAGTTTTTGGACATTTATTGTATTTATTAGTATTTTTTAGGATTAGTTTTTGGTCATTTATTGTATTTATAAGCATATTTTTGACATCTAATATAATTTTTTTTTTCATTTTTTTGTACTTTTTACTGAATTTTATCTAATTTTAATAAATGACTCCAAACTTGAAAGGATTTTCTCTTAAAAAATTTTGATGTGGTTAGAGTTTTGAGTTTTTCGAGGCTAGTGGCAGTTCAAGTTTTCTCTTTTAGTTTTAATATTTGTGTTGTTTTTTGTTTTTAAGTTTTTTATTTGCGCTCTTTGAGTATAAATGTTGAACCAATTTAAAATTTTCGAGTTTGAAGCCAGTTTCTGACTGCCACTTTTTTATTTATTTTTTATTTTATATTTATGTTTAAAAATTGTTGAATATAATTTTATATTTACTTCTTTTTTTTAAGTCAAATTTTTCTGTACACCTCTTCCACCATCCTTACACCTATTAATTTCACCGTTTACATGCCATTTCGATTTTTCCACAATCCTACTTGGTCAGTCCGTGTCAACAGGATGAAAGTCAAATATGCGGCAGCAGTTTCAAGCCATTTAATCCTTCCAAAATAAAAAATCAAAGGAAAAGCTCAACTTTTTTCTTTCTACTTTATTTTAACTCCTTTGTTAACAGCCTTTCGCCACCGGATGCGAACGCAGAGAGGAGACTCAGGTACCTGCCTAAAAGCAAAAAAACATTCCACACACACACACTAATACAACGCGTTTTTCACATCGATTCACAACAACCAGCTTAAATGTAAGCGGAAAATTTAATTTTAACGCCTACAAAGGATTACACCCACACCAGCGCTCACGATAAAATCTGTGCTGGCACTGCGAAAAAAAAACAGGATATGCGTCCGAACGAGCACAAGCAAATCCGCACCAACGAATACTAAGCAGCAGCGTCTCGGCTACACGCGCACAACCCGAAAGTCAATAACAGACTGAAGAATGGAGCTGCTCACCGCGACGATGATGACGACGACGGCCAACACCGTCCAATCCACCGAATTCAATCAACCCGGCGACTGAGTTGTTGTGCGAAATCACTAAAGCTCCACAACAGACCGCATGTGTGTGTGTGTGTGTGTGTGTGCGGTATCCAACAAACTTACAACTACATATGTACATATGTACAAATCTATACGAAAACAAAAATCAGCACTGCATTCAATAAATCCACCTTAAAAACTCACAGCTAAATCAACGAAACTTTCATTAAACGCCGCTTGCAAGTGACCGCTGCACATCATCGGTTCGACCGTTGGGCAATTGGCGTCCCATATTTAGCCAATTATCCACTAGCCAACGAAATAACCGACAACCGAGAAAACATACGTACATATGTACTTTGAAACACTCGTGTCCTTGCTACACAACAGCTACATAAGGCTGTAAGCTTGTCTTGCAAGGCTATCAAACACTAAGCGAAAAAGGAATTCGCTAATGCGCGTACACTCCGACGACGACGGCTTCGCAAACGCTAGAACACGAACTGAATTCTAGCGGCTTATAACAGGCACTTAAATAGCGATTGTAGCGAGTGCCAGTGGCCACCAGCTGGACCAAACGGAAGCGCCGACACAGCCATGCAAGCGGTTAAGCTTTTTTTACTGTTTTTTTTTGTGAGAAATTACCGTTGTGTGCGGGTGAAATTTGATGGCAAATAATGGCTGCTGAGCGCAGGTCGCCTTTGAGAGTGCAAAAGCTGCCGGGTGAGAATGTGAGTATGTTGATCTGAAAGCACGCCGTAAAAACTTTGAAACAGCTGAGTAGCCGACAAAACTTTCGGGTAATTTCTAACGGTTATTTGGGACAAGCACATAGCTGTAGTGCGAAGGGGAAATGGAAGCTTGCAAAATAATGGGACGTTTTTGAAGTGATGAATTACGCGGAATAAATAAAACAAGGGGCGTTAATATGTAGCCACATTTATGTGCCGTAAAATGGTTTATTGTAACAAACCTCCTTTTGGGTACAAGTTTTCTTTGATCCACGTATTACTAAGAAGCCTCGAGAAGTCCTTTGGCTGAGTGCCATTTAGGTCGTGTGCTTGTAGGTACTGTGATCCGAGGAAGCGAAGTCTTGTCGTAGTCAGGGCTTCATAGTGGCAAATTGTTTGGCTGCTGTTTAATGTTCTTCTGTACACAAGTACACTGATCACAGTTAACAACTCCTATGTTTGACAAGTGTTTCATTGCCAAGCAATGGCCAGTAAGATATAAATTCTTACTTCATGCTTACTGAGGTGAAGGAGAGCTTCGACTCTCCTTATTGATATTTTCAGGACTTAGACTGTCTGTTAACTAGCGTATTTGTTCAGCCAGATAAGTATGCTAGCTTCGTGTTACGGCGTTCAATGGTATCCTATGAAGGATTCTGGGTCTATCCTTACGCAGTTCTTTATCTGAGCTTCCTTGCCCATATTGAGGATGAGGAGGAGTCAATTGACCACTTTCTAGGTCGATGTCCAGGTCTACAGACGAAGCGCCTCAAGCACTTGGGTTCACGCTTCTTCAACAGTCTGGGCGAGATAGCGGAGGGGGAAATGTTGGATCTCCTCGGCTTTATTAGAGATAGTAATCGGTTCAGTAGAATAATGACTTGAAGCTGCTATTTTGGTTATATGTAGGTACTTGTCTCCTCCTGAAACTCACTTAAAGCGGGCATTCACAATGGACAATCCTGTGAATCGTGGATTGTTCCACGCACGCCCTCCCAACCTAACTAAATGTGGACTAAGTCTAATAAAACTGGCTTAAGTTTTTTGATAAATTATTTAGTATTTCATTTTATTTTTCGATTACATTTTCGTACTTAAAAAATCCTAATTACAAATGCATATGCATGCACATATGTATGTATGCAAATAAATAAATAATTCTTGCCGCATTATGTTTTATGACCAAACAAATACTCTACTCTGTGCCACAATCCAAACCCTTCATCAACTCCCTTAACCCCAATTGCTGAATCTGTGCGAAAGCCCAAATCCAGTGTTGAAGTCATTCCTGCCGCTCAGCGGACCATTCAGCCAACGTGAACCGCCAGCATTGAAGTCCAAGCTCGTTTGGCGATCAGCTGAGGTAAATAAATTCGAACTTGCGCCATAATTAAATTTGGTGCCAAAATCATGAACCTTGGAAAGACCCAAATTCGCGGCATGGCCATTCGTATGCGCCCAATTGAGATTTCCACCTGTTTCGCGTAATGTGGGGCCAAAGTCGAAGGATTTTTTGGTATCAAACACATTGGCGCCCACGCTGTGCGCGCCATTATTGAAGAATGTAGCATGCGCAGATTTCGTTAGCGAGTCACTGAAACCGGGTATGGTCTCCTTGGCAATGGATATGCCATGACCGCCGGCGTTGTTTAAGGCCAACGAGCCACCGTTCTTCTCAAACTCGAAGCCATTTGACAATTTTGTGTCCGCTTTAAAGATGGATGCATCCAAGCGATTATTTTCATTCAGTAGAACATTTGCCGAAGCGCTCTTAGTTAGCGTATCACTGATGCCAGGCGTATGCTCTTTGGTAATAGAGGCGCCAAGTCCCTTGCTGTTAATGTGGAGTAATCAGAGGCGTTATTAGATGCCGTGAAATATAAATTATTAAGGCTCAATATTCACTTACACATTAGCAGCCAAACTGCCGCCAGTAGTCACCGGTCCACCTTTGGTATTGCCCATCGCAAACGCGCTACCAATCACATTAGCATCGGGTGTGCCTAAGCCTTTTGCGATCTCTAGCTTGACATCATGTCCACCATTTGGGTTCGTTGCCACAGCGCCGCCAGTAGCTACATCGCGTCGTACACGGATGGGACGTGGTGGCGGCTGTGGCCGCACTGTTGGCGGATTCTGATGGCGTTCTGGTTCCGCATAACGTCTGACGCGTATGGGACGAGGTGGCGGCTGTGGACGCACTGTTGGTGGATTCTGATGGCGTTCCGGTTCAGCATAGCGACGTACACGAATAGGACGAGGTGGCGGCTGTGGACGCACTGTTGGTGGATTCTGATGGCGTCCTGGTTCAGCATAGCGACGTACACGGATGGGACATGGTGGCGGCTGTAGCCGCACTGTTGGCGGATTCTGATGACGTCCTGGTTCAGCATAGCGACGTACACGAATAGGACGAGGTGGCGGCTGTGGACGCACTGTTGGTGGATTCTGGTGGCGTCCTGGTTCAGCATAGCGACGTACTCGGATGGGACGTGGTGGCGGCTGTGGGCGCACTGTTGGTGGATTCTGATGGCGTCCTGGTGCTGCCGCCACGCAAACCAAAACGGTGATAGCGACCGCCAAAATGGCGAAAAGTTGTAGTTTCATTTTTTTTAATGAGAGTCTTTTACGACTGTATTTCCTTCCAATTATTTTATTATAATCTTATTCGTTGTTGGCTATTCGCTTGCTAAATGAGTTGTGATACCTGTGCTGTGTACATCAGCAGTTTATATTGCATGCTCTATGTATGTTTCTATCTGGCGCGCTGTCTTATCACCAATGAGGGTATTCCCATAATCTTTTTGGATATGTGATTCCTCTGATGTATTTTTTAAATATTTTATTCTCAGCTGATAAGCAATACCTTTTCTTATCAGAAATAAATGAAACAGTAGCTCAAATGCCTTAAAAGCCGGCTTTTGTTTTTTTTTAGTTATTGTATTGTGTTTGGAACCCCCGTCAATGCAGCGAAACGTTTTTTAAGGCTACACAGCTCAACGTGATGTATGATATATGTATGTTTGTATGTACATATACATTTCTGTTGTTGTTATGAGCTGAGAGGGATCCCCAATCTTAGCTATATATGTATGTATGTATGTACATAAGTATTCGCATGCAGCTCATGACTCGGTTAATAAAAATTTGATTCAAAGGAAAAAAATCTGTCGACCAAAATTCACAGTACATATTAAAGTTTTTGAAAATTTGTATGGATGTATATATGTACGTATCAGCATCCAAGATTCAACCACCAATGATTCTACAGGTGTTTTCGAAATTATAAAAATGGAAAAGAAAAACTAGGTAAAGCCCAATGTTTGTCGCACGGGTTAGTTGCACTTATCGATAAATGCATATAACCAATTTCGATCGATACACTTATCAAAAAAATTGTTTTCTATATACTTATCGATCTTATCGATAATACTATAGGTATATTTTTCGATATTGTGATATATTAATTTGGTAGGCAGACGATATTATTATCGATAAATATGTGCATAATCGATATCGCGGTTATCGAAATTAATCTTGATATATGCCGAGATATAATTATTCTTATCGAAATTTTTTAAGTAATTGGTTATCGACATATTTATCGGTTTTATCGATATATCTATAGTAATAAAAAAACTAACTTGGAGAGATTCCCACACTTCTTTTGTGCAGGAATGCCGCCTCAACTTATCATGTCATTATCTAAGCTGTTTTCGGCAATGTCGTATGATTCGGTATCCTTATAAACTTAGCAGACAACTTTGGGGTTGCGAGGTACATTTATCCTGATAAACATATGGCGCACAATCAGTAAGCCCAGAGCCTTAACAGGTATTAATTAATCATCTTTCTAGAGGGAGTGGGATCATCTCTTCAATCCGGCAAGCCAGGTCTCATATTATAACGATGGATTACCCAGTTTGCGAATTCCTTCTACCATCGTATCTGACGGTTTCGAGTCTAGTGGAATGTCCCAGCTAGTTTAAGTGTTAAAAAATTTCGAACAAATTGGCTAAATCCTTTCCGCTTTAGACAGAGCAGAAGGCTATGCTGGACATCATTTTATATAGTCCTGGGAGTCTCGCGATGGTCCCAAACTTACATAGATCTGAGATCCTAAACACTTTGTGGGCTTTGAAATTTATGAAAGCGTGATGGGAGTCGTTTTGCTTATCTGCAGTCTTTTCCATGATTTGGCACACTATGGAAATTTGATAAATTTTGGATCACATAAGTGTCTAATAAGCTCGAGTTAGATCCACTAGGGTCTTGTAGAGTGAGTTTAAGAGCTAAGCCCGTATTCCCTTTATTACTATTTAGATATTCCGCCGAGTGCGTTCTTTCCTCAAAGGCTCCCAAACGTTTTAGTATACCCAAGGCAACAGAAAAATATGGGTTTATATGTATAAACGGTCTTCTATTTACAAAACCAAAATAAAGTTTTTCGGGAATCAAAAAAAAAAAAAATATGATGTTATAATTCACATTTCGCTCGAATCCCAAATATCGCGGTTTAACCATTCCGTCAGCGAATCACGCGTGCACTCATTCTGTTCATTCAAACACTTAATAGACATTATATCAGACATGCAACCGTTAAGAATGTAGGCTTTTACACAGGGCATTGCGCATAAGAGACGAAGTATCTGAAATAAGTGTAAAAATAAAAGCTTATAAAGCCACGAAATCGCTAAAGAAATTTCGTGGAGCCGACCTTGAGGCATACCAGCTGCAAATTGGCATTCTTAGACTTCGCCAGCGCAATAATGCGTTTCGGCAGAACGGTAAATTCACGACAACGCCAAAGCGCGCGATCGCTCACCAAACCATGCAGCAACGCCAGCAGGACGTATTCATAATTATCCAATTTGTGCTGCTCATCCGCGATTATGTCATAGAGCATTTTGACGCCATCAATTTTATCGAAACGCTTCTGACCCTCCTCACAACGCAGCAGCATAGCGAAGCATTTCATGCAGAGTTCATGATAGAAGAGACGTCTGCATTTGATGCGCTCAATCAGAAGTTCGAAACAACCGTAAGCTATGCCAAGCTGAGGCGCAATCTCCAAGAAATGGCAAAGGTGTTCCCACAATGGATTGGGATGGAAGGGTGTGCAAGGATCGTGTCTAAAAATGAGTGCGAGTTTGCTAAAAGAGTCGGTTTTGTCGAGCATATAGAGCAAAACTGAGGAGGGGCGTAAAAGTTAATATATTTACATAAGTATAGATTGTTTAAGCTATTAGAGTTAAGCTTTCTTACTTTCTGGTTTCTCCGTTAAATTGCGCAGCAATTTGCAAGCCAACAAATGCGTATCCTCACGCTTATGAATGATCGCGTAAAACTCGTCGAGTAGATGAGTGCGTTGCGCAATCTGGTGAGCGCCATTTAGATAGCCGGAAACTATATCTGGCGAGAGGGGCAGGCAGAAAGTGTAAACTCCTTTTGTTTATTTTTTTTTTTGCTTTCTGACTACTTACAGAATATTTTCATCAACTGCCTGCGTTCGTGGTAGTGTTCCTGATGATAGCCATACTGTAGGCGCATGAACATATTTGTGCACCTAGCGGTAGAAAAAAAAACAAAAGTTCAGCGTGTTGGAGCTGCTATTAGACCAGTTCTATCTTCATAGAATAAGAGTCCACTTACTTCCGCACCACATCGTACTGTGTAATGGCCCGCTGCGCTTGCCATGGATTGCGCAATACTTCTGAGAGTGAATTAATATTCTGCCATTTTACTAGCGGCACGTCACTACACATATCTTTGATCAACTTCTCTACGCATATGAAGCCGTAAGCCAACGCCGCATGGTCCCGGAAATAGGTGGAACTCTCACATTTGGCCACGTCTGGGCATGCACATTTGCAGCGCTTCGATTGACGTTGTTGATATGCGCTGGTGACCAAATCGTTTATCGTTTCACTTTTCATGTTCTTCACTTCGAGTTGAAGGAAGTGATTCTTATAGCTGGCAAGCTCTTCCCACATCTTGCTAGGGTTAGTCGTATTGAAGGTTTTATAATGGTTTCAGAAACGACGATTTAAAAAGCGTTATTTAAATATTTTAGAACAATAAGCTAAGCAAAACAAAAATTACTGAATATTTCTGAAAAATTTTGTCAAATTATTGGAAAAACAAGAAATTAATATATCACGCAATTTTTTGGAAAATGTCTGTAGGAAAATTTCACAGAATTTTTTGTATGTAGAAAATAAGAAATGAAACGTGTCCTAATTGTTGGCAGCGTTTGGAAGTCGCCACTTAGCTGAAGATCACCTTCACACTGAGGCCCAAAGTTTCCCTGAGAGTGAGCAAAACATTATGCTGTGCATGCCGTTTGTAGCACGGTGCCACAGACGTGAGCACCCGAACAGACACCTACCTGAGGCAGAACCTGCGCCATGTCTCGTCTACGAACTGTAAAGGCAGGCCATAAGCGGCATTCACAGGGAGTCTGTCGCAACCCTCACCAACTCCCGACCTGTGACGGACGGTTTAGGAAAGCTAACACCGACCGTTGATGAGACAAAACTTCAATTCCCTGTTGGAGTCGCGCTATAGATACTATCACAAGTGCGTTCTGGCTACTGCAGAAGACTAAATTCCGACGTACGTAATGTAAATCCATTATATGGAGTCTCTGCATGATACAAAATATATCTTCACATATCAGCAAACCCAAAATCAATTAACACCCCTCTTCCTCTGGTCCATCCCCACCAGAGGGATATATGTACATTCGGTCCTACCAAGAAAAGTCAGAGTGGAAGTACTTTGTGTACCTGCATGTGACCTTGGACTTGAACAGACAGGGCGTCGTATCAGCAAGGTGGATTTGAAATGGAGAAAGGCTCACAAATCGCGGACAAGTAAGCTTTTGATGCAACGGTTCTTGGAGTACTCGATAAAAAGATTCTACGTAAAATTTACGTGGCGTGCCTTGTTGGCTTGTTGGACTCGGTGGCTTCGTCTACTTGGGAACCAGTACTCGCACCAATAACCAACCAACGGCTACTTTGGACTTGTAGAATTGAGCAGTAAGGACCTCCCTCGACGAACTAAAACAGCACTTGAAAATCTCTCATCGTGCCCGTATTGATGTGTAGGCCGCAATTTATTTGCTTATGATCTGGCAGCTCTAGTCTGAAGTGAAGTGAAAGTAACACTGCTTGCCTTTTCATTTTTAGCAATACTACACTACTACAAGTAATTAGAAAATTGCACTGTGGGCATTGCTTTCGCAAACATCTCTTTAAACTTCAACTACATACATGCAAAAACAATAACCCAAATATAATATGTTACATATACCTAACGAACGAGCACAGCGATTAGAGATAGAGACTAGCTAACGTATGAAGTGCGGACTGAGACTATGAACGGAGACCCCGACGTTCGTACCGAGATGACTGACAATGTCGACCTAAACATCTTCGAGCAATTTGCTCAAACGGCCTCCTGACGAAATACTTGGCGGTAGTACCAGCGGGCAAACCGGACGAGAAGAGGTGGTTTTAGTACGTTAAAATCTCACACTGGCTTTCGCTGCATTCCACCTCTATATGAAAAAAACCTATAATTAACTCAGAGCGAAAATTTGCTAAGTCCACTTTTACTAAAAAATTTATTTTAATGCAGGAAGCAAGAACTATGTATTAAAAATTATTAATTTCCTAAAAGATTATTCTAACTATTTCACTTCTAACCGTTTCTTTTCAGCAATACGCAAACTTTCTAAGTCCAAAACAGTGACAGAAGTTGTGATAAGTCCCAAAGAATGCACAAATTTTTCATAAACATTGCGTAAATGGATTCGTTTGGAGATGTTTAGTTACGCGAAAGGGTTTTATGCTCCCCTTTAAAATATTTAAAACTGGGCTTAGCAGGTTTTCCCTCTCAGATAGCGATATCTAGGTAGTTTTGAGTGGNCTAGATAGACAGCGATGGAAGCTTAAGCGAAGCGCACGAAACACACAAGTGTAAAACGAGTCATATAGCATATCATTTTATATTCAAACGATAAATTTAGATTTCATGTTTTTTGTTAAGCTTCAATAAATAAGCATATGCATAAGCGTTAGCAAAGTTTATTTAATTTCCGTGGAACGCGTGCGGTGAGACATTCTTACAGTGGGTTAACTACCAAAACACGGTTTGGTTTAAATCCGATCATTGGATCATGAAGAAAATAACGATAATCTAAAATTTGTATGAGAATTGAAGTCGGTTTTGTTTTTTGCTTAAAAATTACTTGTTTTTTTAAACCGTAGTAAATCTACTCCGATCGGAATAAAGTCTGAACGCTGATGCCAGATTCAAAAACAGAGTTGTATTGAGTTGAGACATTGCTCTTGGGACTTTAGGGGGGACTTGCGATAAAAAATTATGCCGCAACACATATTTTACAAAATTAATCAAATATCTTATTATTATTATTTCATTCTATAGCCTAAAAAAATACTCACTTTTCACTTTCACCGCGTTGGCCTGCCCAATTTTTATTTCGTTTGTCTGTTCCACGGTTGCCATTTCCAAATAATTTTTCGGACCAAAAAATGAACCGAATGGTAAAACATTGACCAATGTTTTATTACATCGGAAAATTGTGTAGAGTTTCTTCTTCTTTATCACGAAAATATGCCAATTCAGCTTTTATAACGATTTTTTTTATATTGCATCCAAAGTGCATTACAATTGTATATTATTAACATTATATTATTCAGTGGACCACACGAAAAGAAATGGACCCAATTTGGTCCATTTGGTACAAAACGGCAACCGTGGTCTGTTCTTGGACGGTGAGAGCCACTTTCAGAGAGTAATTTGTGTTTCTCACTAACCCCATGTCGCCCGGACTGTTTATCATGAATGAATAACAGGCTGCTTTTTTTTTTTATTGAAAAAAATGTCAACTTCACTAACAATTTTACGTTAATGAGTTCGCTGCCGTTCAGCTTTCAAATTTAAAATTTTATACGATTTGATGTTTAGTTTCGGGCACGAAAGTGGTTTTTGCCTTCCCATGGTTTTGTGCAGTTTCATTGTCGTTTTGAGAGCATTTCGTATTAACGCTCATTTGCCCGAAACTTATCCAGAAATGTAAAAACAGACCTTTTATTAGGAAATCAACCCAACGAAAGCAACCCTGCTGGCTAAAGAGAATTTAAAAAACCGGCTTTTGACGCTCACTGCATTGTTTCGCGCTCTTCGTTCATTGTGGCTGAAATCGCAAAGTGTGGAAAAACGACGATAGCAGACAGATTTAACTTCAGTTGATTTTAAACACGCGCGAAGACAAGTTGGTGAAAGCTGTTCGCTTGATTTTTAACAGCAATTCGCTTAATATTTCTGAAAAAAAAAACAACTTGCACTAATTTGCTGGCAACAAGAAAAAAAGTGCTGTGCTGAAAGAAACACGATTTCAAATTCCCCAAAGAAACTGTCGAATCTACGATTTTCTTAAGCCAAAAATAAAATATTACTAGCGAATCTAAAAGAAGACTTACCGAAAATGAAATTCTTAAACAATTTCCGTTGAATTCAAAGTTATTTGTGCAACGAAAATTTCATAATTTCCCAGTGGTATCTATGACGACTTGGAATAAATGCAAATTCTATAAACAAATCAAACGGAAGTTGACTTAGTTTGCGCAAATCGTAATGTAAACACACACGAAAAGCCGCGTACAAAAACAACGGAATAAATGCTATATATTTACGTACATATGTAAAACAACCAGAAAATAAAACTAAACGTGAGAAAACAAACGTAATCATTTGAACGCAATCGCCAAGCAGTTAAAGGTGGAAAAATCGAAAACAAAACACAGTCATAAAAAGCAACAACAAAAAATAATAACAAGAAATTCCTACCTACAAAAGGTAAATAGCGCCGTGAGTACCGGCAGAAACAACAACGCGTCAACTACTTACAAATAAACATACATTTCTCCACCTAGCAGCAATAGCAACAACAATAACCAAACGAATGTGCGGAGCAATAACCGCTGCAAAGTAACAAAAATCGTTAGGTGAAAAGGGACGGTGAATTGAGTAATAAACGTGAGAATTGTCCGTCTGCAAAAGGAATCATTCCTTTTTTTTTTTGTATGCATCCCCCATTTTGCCGATGAATAGAAATCACTGCCAAAAATATTTTTTTTTCTTCAACTCGAAACAAGTGAAAAGGAGTAAAACAGAAAAAAACGGACAACAGACAACGACAATTGGTACGTGGGTGTGGTAATTGCATTGCTGCAACTCGTCTTGGACTTTTACTGCTAACTGCCGACTGCTGACTGCTGCTAGCTGGCCAACAACGAAAAAGGACAACGAACTGCTAAGTGGATAAACGAGCATTCATACATACATAAAAAAAAAACATTGTCCATTGAAATTTGTTACCTTCTACTTACATACATATATTTTTGCTGTTCTTCCGAACGGATTCCGTATTAAGCTGTAAGGATTACGGGAAGATGGCGCTGATAAGACTGGCTAGGTGAGTATTTAGAATGAAGCGATGCAAGGCAATAGCAATGTGTGTATGTAGCATAAATTTAAAGTATGTATGTAGCATGAAATAAATTTAGACTTAGAGGAATGTCGCAAAACAACGACATATCTGTTTGCAAAGTCGTTGCATTGCGCTATCGTCAAGAGCTGATAGGGTCCTTGTAACGAGTGAGTATCCTGCAGTGCCGCACATGTGCTTTTTATGCATTTACGTATATAAATATAACACAGTGAAGGTCATATAACAAGAAATGATTTTGTAAACATTGAAAAAAAAATATTTTGAAATCTGTTCGAAGACCTTGCCGTGTATGCAATTTGTAATAAAAATCAGTAAAGATTTAGTTCCTTTTTGGGGAGAAGTGTCGGTTATTTCTAGTATTTTTTGGTAAAATTTAAGTCCAAATTTTTGAATATCAAATAAGCGCTAATTGTAATTTTTAAGGTACTAATAAAAACCAGTAATTAAAAAAAAAATATTTTAAGACAAGTTTTTATTCAATCTCGATTAATGCATAAAAAACTCAAATCAAAAGTTCGTACAAGTAAAAAAAATATAGCACTGAGAATAAGCCCACTCCGGTAACAGTTTGTCTCCAAACCAAACTCGAAAAATTATACAGAGAAACTCACTAATATGGACTCCCGGCACAAGCAGATAGGACACGGTTGCCAAGACCTTAGATCTGCCAGAACGCCGCGCTACAGACAGCCGCGGCATGAATCCTCATGGCGCCAAATCACCAACTCCACAGCGAAGCGCAAATGCTTCCAGTTGAGGAGCACAGCCACTGAGAATCAGTTTCCGCTGCTACGTTACTGTAAGGACCATTCTAACAGACACTTGCTAGCGCCAGAGTCACCTCCGTGCCATGTTCGTAGACAGCTCATTAACCACACAGCCACTGGATCGGACAGGCTGCCTATAAATACTGAGCAATAGACTGCAGCAGTAGTCTGTCTTCTGAGCAGGGTTCCCCAAAGGCAGTACAGTTCCCTTCTTCGCTAGCTTGTCTGTAACAGTATCTGGTTTCTTGAGTTAATAATGAAATGCAAAGTAAAAACACTTTGAAGACTCAACGTATATAAGTAAAATTGGTTATTTTTGCACCTCAAATTATTATGTCCAACTGAAGTCAAAGTATTCTCGTTTCTATGGCCACCACTGTACATGCATACGATGTTTAGGTATGTACATATGTACACTTAAAATTTTCTCTTCCATACATATCTTATGCGCTCATGGAACGTGACTGCTGGCACATACAACACAGGCGCACACACATGCCCACAACAGCATAGCAATAATAATAATAACTAGTAATTTTTAGCAAAAAAAAAAACCGACTTCAACTCCCATATAAAAAAAAAATATATATATATATATCTCATGATCCGCTGATCGGATCTTAACCAGATTAGTATGGGACCACCTCTGAGACACTACCTTTCCGACCACAAAAGAATTATCGAAATCGGTTGACGTGGTCCAAAGTTATGCGGTAACATACATAAAAAAAAAAAAACAAAAAAAAAAGATTCCGACGAACTGATAGCCTCCTCCTTTTTTGGAAGTCGGTTAAAAATGCAATAGAAGCAAATTTATAACCATCAGCTTCCACAGCTGACCAAGCCGGTCCCTCTTCGCCATTTCCTTTACTTTCGTTAAACTTTGCTGAATTTCCTTTGTTTGCTGAAGACTTTAACGGTGTATTGGGTGGGAGAAGGTGCTGTTGATTTTTCGCATTTCTGCATTTGGTTCTATTGGAAATTTGCTTATTATTGGCAAAACTTTGTGGAAAATGTGAGACTTGCTGATGTTGGAAAATTTATGTATGAAAAACTAAATTTTCGTCCCATTTAGTCATCTAATTTAAAAATTAATTAATTTTTGATAATTTTTTTTTTTATTTATCTATGCAAAATTAATTTAAAATAAATAAAAAATAATAAATTGTTTATTGGTAACAAAAATTTAAGCAGAGCACTCTCCAAAATAAATAAATAAATGGTACATTTAACTAAAAATATATACATATTTCACCCGCTCTTCAGCTAGCTGAAAAGTTTGCATATTGATCAAACAAAATTCGCTACACTAACAAAATAAACAAGGCTTTAACTAAATGCAAATTTCCACTGAAATATCACCAAATGACACAACTGGCAAAACTAATCCCATTCATTGCAAATTCATATGAGCAAGCAAGTCCAACAGTGTCGCGTGTGGCTATAATTAGCAAACTCCTCCTTCTCCATGACCAACATACGAGTTATTAATGGCTAAGTGCTAATGATGCCGCCTGATAAGTAAAACTGGCGCACTAATGTAGTTAGAACTTCATTCAAATGCTCATTCCCTAATTGGTAACCTTTTGTGAAGAGTAAACTCACAAAATGTTCGGCGTTTGGGTGTTAAAAGGCGTCGTCACATCTGATTACATCAGCTCAAGCCAAACGTCATGTGAACCAGCACTCCATGCGCACAGCTGACTCAACTCAACTCAACCGGTCATGAACTGGCGCTAAAGCTGATGCCACATGAAACGCTTGCTTCGCTTTACGTGACAGATTCGCTTTGACAGCTAAGATGAATTGTATGAAAATGCACAAAGCATGCCACATAGATCATTGAAGCTGCAGCGCGAAGCGAAAAGATGGCCAACTCCCATCTTTTTGCGCGCTTTGACAATCAGCCGGTTTAATATTTATTTTGTTTCGTCCAAATTCGAGTATTCATGCTGAAACATAAAACTCAATTACATTGCTGATAATTTTAAAGCAAAATATCTTAAATCCACAGCAATTTTGACGAGTAAAAAAGCAGTGCAAAATTGATTTCTTGGCGTTCATTGTGGCATACCTTTTGCGTCTGGCGCTTTGCTGGCAAATTTATAAATGTCACGCAAAGCTACAAAGTTTTATCTGGCATCAGCTTAAGTGAGCTCATTTGCTTGTTTACTAAGTACTAGATAAGCATATGAATTGCATACATACATGCATAAAAATATACAAACATACATACAAGTAAAAAATAAATAAATAAATATTATCTCTTCGGTAAGTGGCATTTAAGTGTCCAACTGCTAGTTTACTTAGCTGATTTTCATTGTGTTACAGCGTTTTATTATTCACAAAGCCCCTTCATCTCCCCTCAGTAATTGCTGATGACAGCTATTCCCTAATACGTACTTATTAACTATTGACATTACACCAGTTTAGTTACAATAATCTTAACAGCGCTCTGTATTGTTTTGCGTGCTCTGTGCGGTGGGCAATGAACTCCATCAACAGTTGGGCGCTAAATGCAAATAAAAATATGTATTTACGATTACTTATCAACCCGTTTCTTAACTCTTTTATTGAATTCAGTCTACTAAACCTCCAAAGGGTGTTCACATATAAAAATATTGCCAGTTTCTTTGGAGACAATTTAGTTAAATGCCCAGCTAAAGTCTGATGGCCAATAGCGATTTCTGTTAACTTTTTCCTCGTATTTGTTCATAAGTAGAAACTGTCCGTTTTCCTGTGCCGCAGATGGGTCTTTGGGGCGATAAAAGAGGTTACCGTTTCTTTCTTTGCGAGTTTCTTCAATACCACTGTAACTCGGAAACGAGAGCCCCCAAACTCGCAGCTTTTTAAGGTATTACCTCGCCACTTTTTAAAGTTACGCCAAGATCGTATTGTTCTGGTTCCGGTTGCCACGCATCTCTCAAAGACATAGTTCATTGGCTTCGAGCACCTCAAACTCGGTGCTATACTGAAGGCGTTAGTAGTTAAAGCGGAAATTAGGAAAAAAATTACGCGCCTCATTAGGTATCCCTACATCTCGTCAACGTTACTCTTTGCTGGGTCACTTGGCATAGCAATTGTACGACTAGTCAAAGAAAGACTAGAAAGATGTAAAGGAACGCAGCAGCTGATGAGATAACCAGGCATAGCTCTGAACTACAAATTCTCTACAATCAGCGTTTAGCGAGGTTATGAGTACATTTTGCCAACATACCATAACCGTCACGAATATCCTATTGAGAAAACTGTTTGCATTTCGAAGTCTTTACGGCCGTGGTTGAACAGAGAGCAAACTCAAATACTTTAACAAGTTTGAAGCTCTGCAGTAGGGGTTCGTACCGATCCGTAGTTTTACTCCGGAATAGAAAAAAGGGGAATCAGTTTACTACTTTCAATGTATCCAAGTATTAAAAGTGTGGACTTTTCACCAGCTTGTCATTGCTAGTGGAGGTGAAACTGTCGGACCTTCACAATTTCATGTGAGTGTCTTCTGCCGCCTCACACAAGGCAGATCTCAACCTAGTGTAGGCATGTAGGCTACATACACGGCTTTCAAACCTTTTCTTTCAAGACCTCTTCTAACCTAAGATTGTGGCTCTGGAAGGAGAATATTCACTCATATAAGTAAAGATCGAGCTGTACTGAGAGCCAGCCTTCAAGCGCGGTTTAAGAATGCATCCAAATCCGAAGCATCCAAATCCGAACAATTGCCAATGGTATTTCGGTCTGTACGGCTGGAGATCCGTTGAAAGAGATGGATAGGTTAGCTAGAACGCCGTCAAAGAAACAATTTCTGACCGAAAAAAGAATTTAATAAAACAAAATAATCCTTCTATGGACCAGTTGCATGGGCGATAGGCACCGAAAGAGATAGGAATAACGACCTGCATAAAACGCAGGAAAATACCACGATTTAGTTGGCATATGGACGATATGCCCGAAATAAAATATCCACCGACTCGGCATAGAAGGAATGACAACTAAAGCGAAGACAAGGCGCAAACAATTACAATGGAAGCAGCCAGTCATGAAACTTCGTAAACGAGAAGAAAACTTAAAGGCAGTGATAATTTTAAAAGTGTCGCGAATAAATTCAGTAATGACCCAGTAGAACTTGGGAGCATCGTACGATTGCTCGGTGAGTACTCCCTTGGGAGTATACGAATACTCCCCATTGCTCCCTATGCTTCTGTG